CTCAGGTGGATGATTTGGATAGAGTTCTGTTCTCTGAGCTGGATGGTTTTGTCGTGGAGCTTTAATCGTTCTTCTGAACGACATCATCAGAATAGACTTCAGATAGAAGTAAAGTTTGTGCTGATGATATCGTTCAGAAGAACGATCAAAGCTCCACGATCAAACCATCCAGCTCAGAGAACAGAACTTCATCCAAATTATTGTTATTATTAAATGTAAAATTTAATATTTGAATATTGTTTATTTTGTACTAATAAAAAATTCGTTGTAAACCATGTGGGAATACCATAGATACAAATGATAAGTTGACAACAAAATTTAGGAAAAATAATGTAACGTTTAAACGCCTCTTTTGTTTGTTGTCGGTTGTGGCGGTGTTGGTGATGGTTGGGGTCGTGTTGGTGGTGGTGGTGTTGATTAAAACAAAACGATTTGCATAATCAAAACTCATTGATTATTCTGTTTTAAAACTTCATTCTTTTTTCATTATCAAAGTTATGAAGAGTCATAAATTATTAAAGAATATGATATTTATGAATTTTATTTTAGAAGACTTTGGAAAGATGTTTTGAACTAGTTAGAAAATCATAATATGAGACAATGTTTAGTGGCCTGAAGATTTGATTTCAGTTGTTATTGAAATATACATGTGGCCAATTCTCGTATCGACCAAGTTGCAATGTGATCACTAGTCTAGGTGAATCGACATTGTTGTACACTATGTTGAGATAAGATGGTGGTTGGAGGTAGTCAACTCGGGTTTCGTGTTATTTAGCACTCGTCAGCAAAGTGTAACCTTAAACTTAAGGGAACTGGTGCTCCCTGATAGATTCGATCCCGTATTACCCAGCTTCACTTGGTCGATAGCATTTGATCCGCACTAAGAAGGATTAGACACGCATGACGTTGATCATCACCCAGTGATCAATCAATCGTGATTACATCTCAGTCCTACAGGAGGTTAGTCGCGACCAGGATAGCCCAATGGTAACATCTTTGACTGTGAAGCTAGGTGACACAGGATCGAATCCTTCAAGAAGCATCAGTTCCCTCAAGATTACAGGTACACATTGCTGACAAGTGCCAAATAGTACGGAACGTAGGTCCTGCGTTTCCTGTTGTCTACCTTCAACCACCATCTCACCCCAAAAAATTAATCTCAGACACGTATTGAATAGGGTAAGCGATTAGCACATATACGATCATATAAAAACAATCAAGGTTGATAAGCGAATAATTAAAAGGTCAAAATGTAACTCAAGAAGAAGGAATAAATTGACTTATCTGGAAGCTAGAATAAGTTATGTGGGTTGAACATAGAAGCTGACACTACATGCGTTTGACATACGACATTAAAATAATGCTTAGGATTGATGCGCATTTAAGTAGATTGTAAGAATATAATTACTAAGAGTCATAATTGAAAATAAATAAATGATCTTATTAAGTGATTGAATGCAATCGAGTATCAACTTTTATCGATGAAGGTTTCGTACTGGTTAACAATCATCAACAGAACAAACCTGTAATCTTGAGAGAGCTTATTCTTACTGTCAGATTCTAACATAATTCATTCAATTTCGCAGTTAGAACTACTATAATTGAGTTATTTGGACAATGATTGAACTCAGTATCAGTATCTTAAATTTGGTGAGTAGTATCAACTAATATGAAGTCTAGGTCCAGAGTTTTCTTCCAATAACTAGGATCAAAATAACCAGTGCATAGATAAAACAAAGATTCTATTGTAGGTGAAATGAATTTATTACAATTGTTTATGATTGAGATCTTGAACCGATTGATGTTAGACCATCATTGAAAACCTAAAAGCACTGGACTGAGTCCCACGATAGGACGAAATGACCGTCCAGTGCTTCCAGGTGTTCAGTCGTAGTCTAACATCAATCAGTTCAAGATCTCAATCAATAACTTAATAATCTCCACAACCCTATACTGACAATTGTTTTTATAATTATAACTGAAGTGAACATATTTAATCTAGTATATCTTGGTTGCCTTGCTTCCTACAAATATATTTATTCAATAATTAAATTTATGAGTCAGTTGAAGCTGGACTATTATGGAAAACCTGGAAGCACTGGACTCTTCAGTAGCGCGCCCACATTCACGCCCCGTGAGATTCGAACACAGGACCTATCAGTCACGCGCGCGAACGCTTAACCTTATGAGATTTCTTTAATATCTAAGAACAGAACTTTTAATACATGTTATAAGAACAAATCATTTCAGGTAGATAGTAAATATGAATAGGAGTTTGAGCGTTCACCTGCGAGACCTAAGGTTCTGGGTTTGAGTCCCATGGGGTGGAATCGTACATGTGCACCACTGAAGAGTCCCATACTAAGACGAAACAAACATCCAATGTTTCCAAGTTTTCCATGGTAGTCTAGCTTTAATCGATTCATGAATTCGACTATTCAAAATTATTTCAATCTCCACAAAACCCCATTGTGATCGAGTTTATTCATTTTGTCGTCACACTCACACACACACACACACAAAGCTGGTAACATTAAAATAAAATGCATATTTTGTGTATGATTGTATATGTTGCCATGTGTATGTACGTATGTAACTATGGGGAAAAGAGAGAGAGGGAGAGAGATTGTAAACGGTATTGTTTGATATATGTAGCATGATTTTAAAAAGATGGCGTGTAATTTGATCTTCCCTAAAATTTACATCCCTTCTTTCCTTCTTTCTTTCTTAATAGATAGTCTATAAATTTTTTGTTTGTACATTAGAATAATTGAAAGTTGAAAAATTATTTTAAAAGTTTAACTTGTGTTTACAATTGATTGATCACTGGGTGGTGATCAATGTCATGCTTGTCTAGTCCTTATTAGTGCAGATCGAATGATCGATAGCATTCGAGGTCAGTCGCCGCTCGGATAGCTCAGTGGTAACGTCTCTGACTGTGAAGCTGGGTGACACGATATTGAATCCGCCAGGGAGCACCAGTTCCCTCAAGATTACAAGTACACCTTGCTGACGAGTCCCAAGTAGCACGAAACTCGGGTCCAGGGTTTCCTGTTGTCTACCTTCAACCACCATCTAAGTCTTAACTTGTGTTTTAATAAAAGCAATTCATTGAAGTAGTTACATTTGATGATTGGTAGTTGTGATACATTCGATTGTATTGAATCGGAGTTAAGTATTCATTATGATGAAATGAAAGCATGAATATGTATAGCATTTCTCTGAATCGTCCGGAGTGAATTGGTTAGATGGATGTTAAATCATTATTAGAAACTTGGAAGAACTAGTAGTACTAGTATGGAACTCCTCAGCAGTGAGTACTTGTTATGTTCTGATAAGCATAATGAATGGTAACTGTTGGGATCCACATATGGACCAATACTATGCATATATTTCTATTGTATAATTGTTAAATAACTAAACTATTGATATTCATATTCCTCTTATTCTAAGCTTTATTTTGACAATATGAACTATTATTACACGATTTACCATTCTTGAATTATGCCGTGTCTATTAACCACTACCTTCCTCATTCACAGCCACATTTGGCCAAATGTTGTATAAATGTTGTTTCGTATTTTATGGTAAGGTGTGGTCTGTCTGATTGGTGGTTTATAAACCGAGTATGTTTGAAATACATGATTCATATCGTAGATGCTGAGATTGATGTTCTGGACTTAACTGGCTGAGCTAGGCAGGAAGCAGGACCGATAGGTACTCTAGACTGCTCGTATGGGTTTTACGCGTCATTGTTCCGATCGATAATACACTGCTCTCTAATTCGCGGTACCTTTACGCTATACATTAGCAGGGCACTCAGGTCACAAGTTATAAGATTACTAATGATCCTGCATGTGGGATTCGAACCCATGACGTAAGGTTATGTATGCGAACGCTTAATATCTAGACCAATGAGCTGGTATTCACTGATGTTCATGACTCAATTCAATTAATCCACGAAATTGTGTGGCCATCTTCTATTGTGCTGAAGTAGATATCTGTCTTAATTTAACATGGATTAGCTCCATTTTACCAACATTTGATCATTCTATTGTGATATTGTGAATTTTTCTGTTGATAGTGTTCACGCATAATCTGATCTGTCTTTGTTAGTGTATAAGCTAATTGAACAGAGATTTATATATTATATGCATTCATTTGGTGAATATATGAACACTTATGTAATCAGAATCTTTATCATGAGAATTTATTTACTATATATTAGCTGATATATTCCAAAGATTCATTGTAGGTGGAAATATTCACTCAGGATTGGAGTCAATTCGTTTCAAATGAGAAAACACCAAAGTCTTTCATCTGACTGAATCGTTTGTTTCGCTTTCATTCTTCTTAATTATCATAATTAGTATTTTGAAAGTCTAACAATGATCTCATTAAAGTGAAAAAATCTTTTATGGATTAGTAATAACTAGTTAGCCCCTAAATGCCCTGGTACGATCGAGAATGTGGAGAGTCAGCTCTCTCTCTCTCTCTCCCTCTCGAAAAACTCTCACATGGCCATAAGTATACAGACACTGCCAAGTAAGTCCTACTCATTGCCTTCTCGCAGCAACGGCTTTGTTTACGAAATTGAGAAGACGAAAAGTGAATGTTTTGCGCTTTAACTGGGTTAGTGGACATGGAGAGTTCACCTGAGGAAGTGGGAAAATCCTTACTCTAAACCAATGGTAAACATGGGCTCCAGGATCCCGAAGGAACAAATAGCGTATAAACCCATTGCTAGTTATTGACTAACATGTGACTGCATCTACTAACGTCGCTCCATTGCCTAATGGATCAGACCTTTAGGTCAAAGCCTCAGAGTGTAGCCCCCTAAGAAAATCACTTGCTTCAGTATGGCCACTCGAGTAGTATCACAGCGCAAACACAAGTGTATTCGATGCCCCTTTGTACCAATATTTATGTGTTCAGATAAAGATAATAAGTACTTTTAAACAAGATAAGTGTTTTATTTAATTTTTCCTTGTAAATTCCAGAACTCAACTATCCCAATTTAGTTACTCTATCAAAGGATCTATTACATCAGGTAAGATTTGTATTATTCAAATATTCGACTTGATATATTTAATCAGTAATATTTATATTAAACGCTTTATTTCAGGGTAGTCTAAAGACGTTTTTCAAGTTTGTACAATAAAAATGTCTTGATGTAAGATGGTGGTTAGAATTAGTTAACAGGAAATCTTGTACCCGAGTGTAACTATAATCTTGAGGGAACTGATGCTTCATGACTGATTCCATCTCGTGTTACATAGCTTCACAATCAAAGATGTTACCATTGGGTTATCCGATCTACGACTGACCTCCTGTGAGACTGAGATGTATTCACAATTGATTGATCACTAAGTGGTGATGTGTTAATATTTCGTTATGAAATTGAAAATGTCATAGATACACATCTTATCTTATTTCATTATGTAAGATGAACTCAATCAATTATGTTTCATGCTTAGTTACTAGTTCATTACAATACTATTCACTTTACTAATAATTCAATATAAATATTTGACAATAAAGAACACATAAACTGAAGTGGGGGGGGGGTAGGGTGAACTCATATAAGAAAACATTTGATACCTTTTTCTCATTTATTAAATATTAATAACTGTTATTATAACCTATTAATGGATCAGTTATTCATTTTATAATATATGAACTTATCATGTTAATTATTAATATTCTTTATTAATCTATTCTTATTATAACCTCTTCTATTGATTATAGAATAAGATCATGTTTTACGGATCGTTCTTATAATCAATAGTTAATTCGTGAGTCCACCTAGGTTAGAACACCATTAAAAACCTGGAAAAACTGAATGGCCGTTTCATCCTAGTACGAGACTCATCAACAATGTACATCCAAATCTCACACTTGGAATTCGAACCCAAGATCTTAGGTCTTGCATGCAGATGCTTAACATCTAGACCACAGAGCTGGAATCCAACAGCGTTAATGTCTCACTTTTATCGATCCATAAATGACTACGTAATCATTCATTCATTGTTTGAGGTAGATACCTGTCTCTACTCGATACGATTTGGACTCCATTGATCATGGCTTTTCAGTAGAACTCCAGAAAACCATACTGTTATATAATATTTTAAATCTGTATATTTAAAACTCAATCCAAATGGGTGGATGAATTTTGGCGCCAAAATCAAAGACTCGTTATCTTATACCTTATTGGTTGGTCCATAAATTTTAGTCTCGCCACACACTTAATTATTTTTACACTATCTCTATATCTTACTAAGAAGATAGTAGATTTACAAAACTAAACCGGACATCTATAACTTACATTTTAAATAAATAACAAGTTTTCGTATTGTAAATTTGAAATGGTCGGTATTCGATGTAATTCTTAAACTTCGTAGATAGTTCTTCTTGATAACCGTCATTAGATAACGACGTCCTAACGGTGTATACATCAGAAGACAAGTACGAAGTGTTGATCACGTTTATTATTGCACGACGCACAGATCATCAAAACTACAGACACGCCAAACAAGAATCAAAGGCTAATACCGAAGAGCAAGCGAGCGAGTGAACGTGAGAGTCGAATGAGCGAGTCCAGCGAACAGGATTAAAATGAACATATATATACATAGTGAAATGAATGAATCATCGAATCAATTAATCGACTAACACTAAGGCTAGCAGAATGAATATAAGCATAGGCAGTAAGCACAATGTTCAAGCATACATATTCGTACAAGTGCAACAATAATAAAGGTACAATGGCATAGATAAGTTGTTATCGTACGAATGACTCTGCCTGTTAAATAAGTTAACAAAAGGGTTTAACCAAACTAAATGTGAACAAACAACCCACTTCCAATATTTTTATTCTAATTTCCTCTTCAGTTAGATCCTGGTTTGTTCTCCGTACAGTAGAATTAACCGATCTTGACGTTCGTATTGAAGGTTGTGACTTTGATACTGTAAAGTAAAAGGGACAAATCATACTAAGTCCAGAATATCAACAACTTCTTGAATTATGCTGTGTCTATTAACCACTACCTCCCTCATTCACAGCCACATTTGGCTAAATCTTGTACAAGTGTTGTTTCATATTTTATGGTACGACGTGGTTTGTTTGGTTGGTATATAAGCCTAGTATGTTTGAAATACATGATTCATATCGCAGACGCTGAGATGGGTGTTCTGGACTCTAACAGGTAGGACTAGGCAGGGAGAAGGACTGATAGGTATTCTAGACTGCTCGTACAAGTTTATGCGTCATTGGTTCGGTTGATAATTCACTGTTCTCTAGTTGGCGATATCACTACCCTATACATTGACAGGGGCACAAACTCTCGAGTTAGATCAATAGTTTGTTGTCGACAACCTCCAAGACATAGCCTTATCAACCCATCATCTTTGAATTTCATAGTAAACTCAATATCATCCAATGTATATGTTATATCTAGAGCTTATATTCTTGATATGCTGTGTATAACTTGAGCACTTGAAAGCTAAAACCCTTCCAAGTCGCAAATGAGAAGACAGAAGACAAGTGAAAGGAATGTTATTCCAGACAGTGTCAATTAAAGTACAAAACTGTCAGGTATTTATAGTCTTAATCAAAAGCGAAATCATCATTATAGCTAACAATCCACACACAGGGGGTTATTAGAATTGTCCAATCGGGAAGTTACACGTAGAGATTCTAGAATATTCTTTCAAAAGGTGATTGAATAGAATATCTTCAGCTCCTTCTGAGCTTTCTACAGCTTCTTCGAGTTCACCCATGGACCATCCTCACAATCTAATAGTTCAATCATTTTACATTTTTTTAAAACCAAATTTATAATTCAATCTTTATTATAGATTCAGTTAGTGAGTCAGCTACAACGTAGGACCAGGCACATATATGCATTGGTCTAAGTTGCCATAGCATACCCCGACCGTTGTTGCTACTTTGACGTGGTGGTCTGGCTTGCCTATCGTGATGACCCAACCGAGCTATCCTGGCTGGAACAACCGTTCCTCAATGTCCTACCATGTCAGACAGGTCGGTTGAAGAGCGGTAAGACTAAAAGCAGCAAACTCAAGGTCCGAAGGCGAAGTCGTACTGCTGACTGTACAGAGGTGTGACAGCAGTAAGGTGTTTCCTTCAGACAAGCAGCATGACAGCGATGCTGCCTTCCCACAAGGAGGGGTGGGGTTAGAAAAGGTCGACCCTAAAAATACACATCTCGCCTTATCCCACGAATATCCGTCTCCGGTGGTAAGGTCTCAACAAGTACGGAGCTAATACAAAACTTACTCATAAAATGGTCGTGTGTGACCAACCTCCAGCAGTTGTCCCTTGGGCATTGAGGTCAGGCTCTCAGGTCACTAGGACCACCTCTAATCCGATTTCCTTTTCAGGTACCTCCAGAAGAACCCTTCCACGGTGTGGGCAACCGGGAAGTGATAACTTAAGACCATTGTTTTCAACTCCCTTATTATAGATTAAAATTACTCATGTAGAAACTCTCAAATTTATTGATTAAATATATACATATATATATTTCATATATGATTATAGAATCTTTTGAAATTCTTCTTGAACTTTGAATAGAATTGATATACAATTTTAATCCGTTCAATCATTGAATAAACATTCATTACAATTGAATAAGATGATTCAAAGAGATTTTCTTAATTTATTTTAATTCCATTAAATAATCATAATAATAATAATAACCTGAAATAATAATCATGAAAAAGAAAGCGAAGAAGAAGAAGATTTGTGTCTCAAATGGATGATTTTGATAAAGTTTCGTCCTTAGAGAACAAAACTTCATCAGAACGGTCATAATCTATTTTATTATTAGTCTAAATATATTAAACATAAAGAAGAGAGAAAAAAAAGAAACCCATTTATCACGGTTATTATTATTACTACTCCTATTATTATTACTACTATTACTGTTATTGTAATATGACATCCCTATAGACTATATGTATATCGAATAGTTTAATTCCTGAATATGTTTAGATTAAATGAATGTTTATCTACACTTTAGTTAATTTATTCATAATGGAATGTATGTAAACATGAAGGAAAAGAGAAGTTATTTATCTTTAGGTCAATTATTTGTTTGTTTGTTGTTTGCTGTTTGTTGTTTCTTCCCTGTGAAATAAAGACACCCCCCCATACACACACACACACAAACACAGAAACACAAAACTCATGTTATTAACCTTAATAGAACAATAACATAATTAATAATGTAGATTAATAAATAAGGTCAATTAATGATAAACTATTATACAAAAGAAGAATATAAATATACTTATTATTGATTTGAACACATAAATATAGGTACAAAGGGGCATCGAATACAAGTGCGCCACAGAAGTCACTTGATTTGTGTTTTTGAGCTGTGATACTACTCGAGTAGCCAGACCGAAGTAAGTGGTTACATGAAAAAATGTTATCCCAGTCTGAGCGCAGAAGGTCCCAGTCAACATGCAATATCGAGGCAGGATACATATATGCCAATATGAGACTGATGAATTACAGTCCTAAACATCAATTGGAAGACTCAAACAATCAATACAAATATGTGTTGAAAGTTCATTCCATTGCACAAGAAAATGGCTATCAGGTGTCAATAGCTATATGGATAATGCGATGCCGTTTGAAGCGAACGGTACTACATTCGAGTCCCGGAATGGACATCATCTAAGGGCTGCAGATACATCTGGCTGATGAGTCCCAAATAGAACGAAAAGCGTGTTTTGGATTCCACAGTTAGCCACTATCCATCTATTTAGTACAGTTTCTAACAGATTCGAAGTGTTTATAATAAAAAGAAATGAATTTCATTGATAACAATTCAGAATATCTGGTCTATATATCATTGATTTATGAAGGGAATACATTGTTGTGTTGTCATAGTAACTTTTTTTACGTTACTTAAATAGTTTCAACAACAACAAAAAAACGTAACTGTAACAATATCTATGTATTAACGCTATTAATATACTTCTAATCATATGAAATTAATAATTAAGATCTTTATCATATCATTCTATCATTAGTGTACAACTGTTGATCTATTTCATAAGAGAAAGTGTCAACAGAGAAAATTTCACAAAGATCCGTCCTTTTTTTTTGTATTAAATATAGAAACAATATTAACATTAACTACAGACTATTTCATGAGTTTACTAAACTTGCTTACTTGCTTACTTACTCCTGTTACCCCTCGTCGAGGAGCATCGGCTGACAACCACAGTTCTCCAACACACTCTGTCCTCGGTTATCCTTTCCACTTTTATTCAATTCTTCTTCATTCTTCTCATGTCTGTCTCCATTTCTCGATGTAATGTGTTCTTCGCACTTCCTCTTTTCTTTCTTTAGCTTTGAGGATTCCATGTGAGTGCGTGTCTTATAATGGCGTAGTTGGGTGCTTTTCTCATTGTGTATCCTATCCACTTCCAACACTTCTTCCTGATTTCTTCGTCCGCTAGGATCTGATTTATTCTTTTCCACAGTAGGTTGTTGCTGATATTGTCTGGCTAACGGATCCGAAGTATTTTGTGTAGATAACTGTTAATAAACACTTGTATCTTGTGGATGATGGCTTTCGTAGTTCTCCAGGTTTCTTCTCCATACAATACAACAATCTTGACATTTGTATTGAAAATTCTGACTTTGATGTTGGTTAACAGACAGTTGTATTGAGTTCCACATGTTCTGCAATTGTAGATATGCTACTATCGCTTTTTTCCAATCTGCGCCATCACATCTCTACAGAGTTAGCGACTACATCCTGTTGAAAACGAACTCACTAAAAACAACCCTAACCAATTCACCAAACTGTTTATTGTTTTTCATTAAACTTAACTCTTCAATTGTTTACTTTATTCTTAGTTCATTTACTAACGATTATCTTCGTTTTGTCTTTTTGTTGATTTTTCCAAAAACATAGATAATTGAGAAAACGAATTATACAAATTGTGTGTTAATATTCAGTACAGATGAATCGAATCAGTTATTATGTATAGTAAGTAGTATCATCTTTTAATCATAATAAAGATATGTGTATACTGATCTTATTATTTAGAAAATAATTCACTTGGTATTGTTTGCTTGAATCTTCCCAATGATGATCAGGACTGTGATCGATCAGTCTCTTATTGGCATATGTGCATCCAGTGAGGATTACCTCGATATTGCCTTATGTTACAAGCTTTTCGTAAGCAATGATGGATAGTGGCTAGCGGTGGAATGCAGTTTGACGCGCGTTTCGTCTTATTTGGGACTCACCAGCTGGATGTACCTGCATCTCGGAGTTGATGTTCGCTCTGGGACTCGAACCTAGTACCGTTCAATTCAAACGCCATCGCGTTATCCACTTAGCTACTGAGTCCTGATAGCTACTTGCTTGTGCAACTGGATGAAGTTTAAATTCACTTGCCATTGTTTACTTGAATCTTCCCATTGAAAAAATGCAGAAAATGGGTCTGTACACACTGAAAAACATCTTATTTAATCAGCATTCAATAGACGTTTTGCCAGGAGCATCTAGAAAGTGAAAAGTCATATATCACGTTTTGATTGGATGATTATCTATACTACTACTATGTTCAGTAAGGCTTCCCGAACTTTCCGGAAACCGAAGACCATCTCGAACACTATGAAAACCCTAGATTTTCTGTACATAAACGAACCTTTGGAGCAGAGCATTTTCTTCCATATATTTCTTCATCTTTTCTCTCATGTTCAATTTGCTGTTTAAATTTAGCCTTAGTGTTATTAGAAGAGCTTGGGAAAGGAAATCTAACGTCCAATTCGAAGACTTATCATTTATACATCACTCAATGTCTTCAATTCGATTTGATATGCCTATCACTTGTCTATCCAGTCAAGGTTATCCAACTAAATGAATAAATAACGATTGATATAGAAAAACCTTTCATGTATATACATTACGGTTTTCTTCAAAATGTAGATAATCCGATGAGACGATATTTTATGAACGACTTTTCAGCAAAGCCAAATTGACTTTGAAAGTGTCTACTTACTTACTTACTTACTTACGACTGTTACTCCTCGTGAAGGAGCATAGACCGCTTACCAGCATTCTCCATCCAACCCTGTCCTGGGCAATCCTTTCCAGCTCCTTCCAGTTGTTATTCATCTTTTTCATATCTGCTTCTATTATCCGACGTAATGTGTTACTTACTTAATAAGACTAAATGAGGGTTGTAAAGCAGTTTGAAGAATATGGTTTATAATTCATAGTTAATGGTTAAAGTTTGAAATTAGATTTACAGTTTTTTATCACAAACTGACTGACATTAACTACAATGCCAAGACATTAGTTGATCAAATGGATGAGTGAATTTCGCATCAAAATCCAAGACCTGTTATCCTAAATCTAATTAGTTCGTCAACCAATTATAATCTCACCGAATATCCTTTAATTATATATATATATATAGTGTAGACAACATTCATTATGGATCTAAACAGATCTTCAACAGGTCTACCTAATGAATAACAATTACCTTAGAACATTCACATCTAATGATGATCATGATCATGATAATACCAAATAAGATCAAATGTTTCCTTTTTCACATTTTCAAATGATGAATGAATTCCGTTGTAGTTCTTTGATATAACCATTAAAACTTTATAGCAAGCTTCATGCATTTACTTACCATTTTTTTTATTGTATATTTTCATGATATACAGGCATCATCAGATGAGTTATTTACAGGTCAATTGAAAATAGATGTAAGTTATCAATGGTAATGTTTATAAATAAATATTTTATTATTTAGTAGTTGAAATCATGAGTGAATTGAAGCTACATCACTATGGAGAAGCTGGAAGCACTGAACGGTCATTTCGTCCTAGTGTGCAACTCCTCAGTAGTACGCATCCATGATCCCGCCTCGAGAGATTCAAACCCAGGACTTATCAGTATCGTGTGTGAGAGCTTAACCTCTAGACCACTGAGCCAGCCGGCCGGCCGGCCGACATCCAACGGTATTAATGTCTGACTTCAACTAATTCATAAAATTGAGCCAGATGTACACCCTTGTCTTCAATGCGTTACTATCTCAAAGCGGACCCTGGTATTATTATTTGCTTTATTCAATATTATACTTTTAGTACAATATAGAATTCTCAACACCAATAAATTTCAACAAGTTTCCGTTTGTTACTTGTTAGTCGATCCTGATGATAAAGTATTAAGTGATCGCCAGTTAAATGTTAGTAGTTCAGTCAATCAATATCTAAATAATGTACATTGTTTTTGCATCATATTACCAAGAACCATGAGATCTGTAGATCGGAGGAACATGTAGCCCAGATGTTCAATCGGGCCGCGAGATAATAAAAAAAAATAAGTTACATCATTTCAGATGGAAATTAATGTTACATAAACGATCCATAATTTCTGAAGGGGAGTTTTGTGGATATTATGGCAATTTTAATAATTGGGATCATGAATCAATTGAAACTAGACCATTATGGAAGACTTGGAAACATTGTACGGCCATTTCGTTCTAGTTTGAAACTCCTCAGTAGTACGCATCCATGATCCCGCCTCTCGAGATTCTAACCCAGGACATATTGGTCTCGCGCACGAACGCCTAACCTCTAGACCACTGAGCTGATCACCATCCAACGGTATTAATGTCTAACTTCAAATAATCCATGAAATTGAATGACACATCCAGCATTGGCTTCAATAACTGAATATGTCACAACAGAACCATACTAGAACGAAACGACCATCCAGTGCTTCCAGGTCTTCCATGGTGATTTAGCTTTGATTTACTGATAATCTCAACTATGAAAATTATCTATATGTCAAGTAAAAGTCACGTTTAATGAATATCGGAACAAACATAAACTAACAGTAATAATAATAATTCTGTATTTTATACACACTTACGTAAGAGATTAAAAGAAAAAAGAAAGAAAAATTTAAAGTTATTCCTAAGCAATATTATTATTATTATTGCCCTGGGTGAATGTTTCACCTTAAGGGTAAGTTTTATTTATCAATTCTAATTGTTATATGAACAAAATAAAAGTAGATTTCAAGCTAAAATGAAAAGAAAGAAAAACGAAAAAGAGAAAAAAGAGAAAAAAGAAAAAAAGAGAAAAAACATCCATTTTGTTTTTATTTTTGTTTTTTTTTTGTATTGTGACAAAGAAATGGAATAAATAATTATCATAGGGGGGCATATATATATATGTATATATACCCTTTAGAAAAAAAAGTAAAAAATAGATGATCATTTAACATTCTATTAGAATTAAGGAAAGGGGTAACCTTATTTGATAAAAATAATAATAATAATAATAATAGTTTTATATTAATTGATGATGTAATCTATTCTATTCTTCTATAGTAACTAGAAATCAATGATTTCATTATTGAATACTCTTTATTTCTCACAATTGATTGATCACTGGGTGGGGTTCAAATATGATGTGTGTCAAGTCCTTATTTAGTGCAGATCGAATGTTATCAACCATGTTGCAATATGGCCACTAGTCTAGGTGACTCGGCATTGCGTGCACTATATATTGAGATTAGATGGTGGTTGGAGGTAGTCAACAGGAAACCCTGGACCCGGGTTTCGTGCTACTTGGCACTCGTCAGCAAGATGTACCTGTAATCTTGAGGGAACTGGTGCTCCCTGGCGGATTCAATCTTGTGTCACCCAGCTTCACAGTCAGAGACGTTACCACTGAACTATCCGAGTCGTGAATAACCTCCTGTAGGACTGAGATGTAATCACAATTGATTGATCACTGGGTGATGATCAATGTCATGCTTGTCTAGTCCTTATTAGTGCAGATCGAATGCTATCGATCATGTTGAGTGAGTGTCACTTTCAACTCAGTAGTTAAATGAATAACACGATAGTGTTGGAAACAAACAGTACTGAGTCCTAGTTCCAGAGCGAGTATCAATTCCAGGATGCAAGTATATTCAGTTGACATGTTCAAAATAGGATGAAATACTTGTCCTGAATTTCATTTCCAGTCACATTCCATCTATTTTAATATAAACTTATGTCGTAATGGCTACATCGAAGCAATCGAAAGTTGACAAGTTTGAACATAAACATTGTGAAAACTGTATGAATTTGTTTATCGAAGTATCGTTAGTATGTTAAACTACTCATATGTATACTTATCTATTCTAAGATGAATGAGCTTTTATTGTCTTACACAAAAACAGTTGGTTTCATCTCCCAGAATTTATGTACAATCATCATCTATAGTTAAATTCTAACATTTAAACTTCAACAAGTTTCCACTTCTTTCTTCTTGATCGATCCTGACGATAACGTGTTGAATGATCACCAGTTAGATAGTAGCAGTTCAAGGATTGACATCTGAATCATGTTCATTCTTTTCAATGCATATTGCCAGCCATCATGATATCTCCGATTAGAAATTTTTATAAGCGAAAGATTGTAAACGATTCATAAACCCACCTGAATAGGTTATTGCCAATTAATTGACGTAATGATCTGTTAAAATAAACAAGAAAACAGATAGCTTATTGAAATATCTTGATGGTAAGAACAGGTAGCCTATCATCCGGGTGTTTGACCCTCTTTACTCATTGATCAATTAAAAAATTTAGAAATGACAAAGTTATTTAAGCTTTTCAAAAGTTCTGAAGTACAGTTTCGCCAACAAAACTAAGAAACTTATCCTGGGAAACTACCATTCAATGTTATAAGTTACAGAAAACTTATGATTTAAAAATTAGTTCTAATGAAAATGAAAGAATACAATAAAAGTATTAGAAATTTTATGGTTGAATTCATGAGTCAATTATAGAAAACTTGGAAACAATGGACAGCCATTTAGTCCTAGTATGGGATTCCTCAGCATTGAGAAGCCGTGACCAGTGGAGTTCAACTAGGTCTATTGTGACATAGTATCTCAGTAAAGTCAACGGTGAACGACGACGCGACTGCGTGGATTGGTTGAAGTTAGACAATAAAACCACTGGATTCCAGCTCAGTGGTCTAGAGGTTAAGCGTTCGCGCTCGAGATCGATATGTCCCGGGTTCGAATTCCGTGGAGCGGGTTCGCAGATGCGCACTGTTGAGGATTCCCATACTAAAATGAGACGGTCGTCTAGTGTTTCCAGGTTTCTCATAGTGGTCTAGATTTATTTGACTCATGAATGCAACAATTATATATATATACTACTTAATATAGTTTTATATCCTCATGATTTTAATTCTTTTGAATAATGATGGCTTCCTACGATTTCATTAATAATTTCTATTCCTATTCTATAATAAATCTTTACTTATAACTGCATACCTTAATCATTATCTGTTATTACAATGATTCTAGATATATTAGATGACGGGGGGCTTTGTGGATATTAAAGCAGAATGAGCAGGGTTGAGGAGTCTCATTGTAGGACGAAACGGTCATCCAGTGTTACCAGGTTTTTTATTGTAGTCTAGCTTCAACTGACTCTTGATCTCAACTATTAAAATGACTCTACATATGTTTAATGGTTACTGAATTCTAATACAATTAACTATAATCAACCTCCAAACCTAATCTGCAACTTTAATCGGTTCACTGATTCGTAGGACAGAGTTATATATAAATGTGTAAAAAATATGATACTGTGCAACCATCTTATGTTGCCATCGGAGATCATTTTGTTGACAATTAAATCTCTCCTTTACCTCTTAATAATTTTCCCCCTTACTTACGCCTGTTACTCCCAATGGATCATAGGCCACCGACCAGCAATCTCTAACATACTCTATCCTCGACCTTCCTTTCCACTTCTATTCAATTTTTGTTCATTTTCCTCATGTCTTATTTAGCTTATTTAGCTAGGACTTTAGAATTTATCACTATCAATGTATGCTGCGTCACCGAAAGGCGCTTATAGAATCCAAGTACAGTCATTCATTTGAGCTAGTCTTGTCAATATAAAGAACCGGCACGATTTATAATTCGAATATCTAGAGACCCCACTTCTACTTCCTGTGACCTCGCTAGTGCAGGTATAGCATTAAGTTCTAGAGCAGAACAGGCTCTCCAATAGACAGTCACTTGTGAGCTGTTCAGCTAAACGGGACAGTGACAACTCGAAAACATGGCGATACAAGCCGTGGCCTTTTTTTGTCTCTGTCTACGCTACTACTGGTTTCAGCTCTCACCAAGTTAATGGTGAATTTTATGGTAAGCTATCCTACCACTTACAGAAAGCCAAACGCTTTAATGTAGTAATAGTGATAGGTGATTTTAATGCTCGAGTAGGTACAATAAACCATTTAGGTGGATCTTACGGTGTTGCGGCCCAGCGAACAGATAGTGGCAGTCGTCTGTTGAAATCATGTCCAGTTAATTGTCTAGTTCTGGCAAACATCAACTTTAAACACAAGGAAAAACATCGTCTGACTTGGAGGCCTCTACAATCGACTCATTGATGAACTCAAACAGATCTAACTGCCCTAAACATTTGTTGAAGGAACTAGATTGAAGACTATCACTCATTCCAAGTTAGGACTTGCCTCGTGATGCAGTTTGATGATTTCCATAATGTATGGTCCTATCCAATTCGAACGTCTTTTCCTCATTTCTTCTTCAGTCGGAAGCTGGTTTGTTCTCTCCCATAGTAAGTTGTTGCTAATGGTATCCGACCAACGGACATTCAGTATCTTGCGTAGACAACTATTTATAAATACTTCTACTTTCTTGATGACGGTTGTATTAGTTCTCCATGTTTCAGCTCCATACAGTAGAGAAGAAAGAATAGACGAAATAAATGTTCCCAATTCAGGGATAACAGAAATAAAAATCATATAATGAATGATTATATGAAATGCATAATCACGTATTATATTATAACATGAATTAGTTAAGAACTGATAATCATGAGTAGTGACCGGTAAATCAATAGACCGTTCAAATATATGAAGTAAAGGTTATTACATGAGACATATTTATTCACCTTATAATTCAAATGATTACTGACTGGATAACCTTCATAAGTACAGCTGATATAATTGATCCCACCAAAAGCAGAAATATAAATGGAAGTGGATCATTTTTATCACCAGGCAATTCAAAGACATTAGTTATAGTTTGAGACTCAAAGGTTCAATTTAGTTTTAAAATAAACCAAAGAGACTAAGGGAAAGATTGAAGAAATCTAAGGGTAATTTGAAAATTAGCATATCTAATTAGTGGTCAGTGGTAAAATCCCGAAATGTTTGAGCTTCATTATAATATCAGATAGGTTTTGTGGATATTATAGTAATTTCAATGGTTAAGATCATGAGTCAGTTGAAGCCAGACCACCATACGAGCACTCATGATCTTAACCATTGAAATTACTATAATATCCACAAAACCTATCTAATATTAATCAACATATGCTCACTAGTAAATGGCTTCACGAGGTATATCCTGGAGTTCTAGTGAGAAACAGTGACCAGTGAAGTTCAACTGTATCTGTTTTGAGATAGTAACTGACTGAAAACAATCTTGGGTGTGTCGCTGAATTTCGTGGATTGGTTGAAGTTAGACATTAACACCGTTAGATGCCGGCCGGCCGGCTCTGTTGTCTAATGGTTAAGCGTTCGCGCGCGAGATCGATATGTCTTGGATTTGAATCTGGCGAAGAGAGATCGTGTATGCGCACTGCTGAGGAGTCCCACAACAGGATGAAATGGCCGTTCAGTGCTTCCAGGATTTCCATAGTGGTCTAGCTTCAATTGACTCATGAATTCAACTATTAAATTACTATAATATTCACAAAATCCCTCTCTGATAATAATACTTAAACTATTTAGACTACTCATGAGTAGGTGAACAATATAAGCTTACATTTTAATGTCACTTATTTTAATTGTGCTTAGGTTGAAAAACCTCTACTCGAAAATAATTCACATTTATTCAATGATTCAACCATACAAGAAATTGAACAGGTTAGTACGTTTAACAAACATTCATATTATTATATTCATCCATTTTTTTATTTCATTTATATTGTTTAACAAATGTTTATAGTTCTCTGAGCTGGATGGTTTGGTCGTGGAACTTTCATCGTTCTTTTGAACGATATCATCAGCACAAACTTTACTTCTATCCGAAGTCTATGCTGATGATGTCGTTCAGAAGAACACTGAGAGCTCCAAGACTAAACCATCCAGCTCAGAGAACAAAACTCCATCAAAATTATCCACCTGAGCTACAAAACTTCTCCACCATCTCAAATGTATATAGTATACTCCATTTATATGCTTCATCAATGAGAGTTTCATAGAATATATTCTGGTTCTGCTCATAATTAAATTCGTTTTCTCTAGATATGAGAATTTCTTACTAAAGTTCCACAGGAAGGTATATCACCATTAAGCATGTAAGTGAAATTACCGAGTGAAGCGGCTGACATGTTACCATGTAGTAATCTTACATCATATTAAGTAGAATCTTCACAACCAACACCAAGGTCAGAATTTTCAAAAAAAATTTCAAGACTGTTCTACTGCATGGAGCGAAAACTTGGAGAACTACGAAAGCCATCACCCACCAAATACAAGTGTTTAATAACAGTTGTCTATCCAAAATACTTCGGATTCGTTTGTTAGACACTATGAGTAACAGCCTACTATAGGAGAGAACAAACGAGATTCCAGTGAAGGAAGAAGTCAAGAAGAATTTCTGAAAGTGTATAGGACACATATTGAGGAAAGCAACCAACGGCGTCATTACAAGGTAAACCTTCACATAGAATCCTCAAGGTCTAAGAAGGAGAAGAGGAAGACCGATGAACACATTACACCGAGAAATGGAGACGGACATGAGAAGATTGAAGAAGAAATGGATAAAACTAGAAAGGAAGGCCGAGGACAGAGTATGTTAAAAAATGCTGTTAGACGGCCTATACTCCATTGGGAGTAAGTAAGGTAGGTAGGATCTTCCTAATTATAGATTCATCATCATTATCATGACTGAAATTTCCATGCATATCATGTTTGTTGAATCCTTTCGAAGTGACATCAAATCTATTGAATGATTCAATGACAATTTAGTAATCCTTTATTATTTTTAGATCAAGGAGAATTACTTTCAGTATCAACTATCCATGTTTGTCATTAATGAATATTTACCAAGTGGATATTGATTGAATAATATCAGTGATCGATTGACATGATAAGTTCAATGAACTGAAGTTATGAATGTGAATGCAGGTTTCGAATACAATTCTTTGAAGTTTAATATATCTCGTTAAGTTGTCTGAATATCGTGAGTTAAATGGATGGTTTAGTCGTGAATATACACTGCTAACTGGTCCTATACTCTGATGAAATAGCTTTACCCTAACTCTTGGTTTTCAATAGTTGTTTAATCAATATTAACATCTGATGTACACCTAAAACTCAACAGTTTTTGTAAACCTATACTAATACTGATTATAACAAATAGAATGTATAAATTGATATTAAGAATAAACTGTAATATTAATTATAAAACAAGAGAGAACAACATAGCAACACTGGAAAACTATTTCAATATAAGGAACAGAAAGTCCCCCTTGGAGCTACTGCCTGTCTCAAGCCTGGATAAAGAAGGAGGGTAGGGCATAGAGTTAACGACTCCATCCCGTAGAAAACCAACTCACCAAAAAAAACCCAGTTATGATGCCTCATTATGAAAGCTGATTTCCTTCGGAAGTCACATGGCTGATATTCCTTCTGACAAGCAGAGCAACCATTAATTTAAATATCTGGACTATTCGTACAATAAGGGAGACAGAGAGAGTCACTCAAATTGTTGCAAAAAATATCACATAATCTCAGGATGATTAATTCAGTCCCATGTAAGTTCATGGTTTCGAATGGCTTAGAAACTATCAATTACAATAGGTTATTTATAATTCCAACAGTTGAGATCATGAGTCAATTGAAGCTAGACCACCATGGAAAACCTGGAAGCATTGGACGCCCGTTTCGTCCTATTATGGGACTCCTCATCAGTGTGCATCCACGACCTCACCTCGCTTCAATTGACTCATGATCTCAACTGTTGAAATTACTACAATCTCCACAAAACTCCTTCTGATGATATTTATATTCAAATTTTACACTTTGTTCAATGATTCTCTTATGAATATTGATTATGAAAAGTAATTTTGTCAATACCAAGCAACCAAAACGGAAATGCGACTATGTATTTCGAAAAAAAAAACAGGAAAAAGAAAACAATATTGATAAAGTAGATCAATAAATTGATTAAAGAATTTTTTCTTAACTTTAGTAATACAATTTAAATAGTTACTAGGCAAATTTTCATAAAGAGAATAATGAAGAAAAATAAAAATAAACATTAGTTGCTATGTATTATATTCATATAGTTATTATAACGTTCGAATAAGTCAATTTATTGATTCTTCTTGAATCATATTTTGACCTTATTCGTTTATCAATCTTGACTGTTCATTGCTTACCTTATTCATCACGTATCTGCAATTTATTCATTTACTTTGGCTTTCTATAGATAGATGAAATTGAGTTGGCTTATTCACCTTCTTCAATGAGTATCATGTTGTCATGCTTCATTTTCTAATCAACGATTGTATGAAATAGATATGGAGTTAAAACTTCATTCTCGTATTTAACCTATTTAATTCTGTTTATTTACTAACGCGATTTAAGGCAATGATGATATAAGAGAATTGACGATATGTATATATATTCGTTTGATCTAATTGGAATCACTGGTGTAGGATCACAAAGGTGATGAGCCCGTCGACCGCAGCGAATGAAGCGAAGAAGAGAGATCAAAGCGAATCGAAAGGACGAACAGTGGAGAGCCAACTTCATCAATACTTCTAGTCACTCATAAATCACTACAGACATGTGATGAGTAAGATAAGAAATGCACACATGCACTTATATAAAAACAGTCAAGGTTGATAAGTGAGTAATGAATAAGGTTAAAATATAACTCAAGAAGAATGGTTAGATTGGCTTGTCCAGAAGCTGGAATAAGGTATATAGGCTTAACATGACAACCGACACTACACTCTAATTGAAAGCACAGTTAAACTTTTATGACCATCATTAGACTCTAGTGTTCAACCTCGATTTAAATGACTGTTGTATTTATAAAATAACTTATATTAGACTCTCTCATCTGAATTACGATGCACAAGAAAGATGATCCAGCAGCGAACTGATAATCTTCAATAGTCTGTTAAGTTAAAGTGCAAGGATTGATTACATAGAAAACCCTATGTCTCTCCACTTTAGTCCAATAAAAGTCATTGATATCTAGTCAGTATTTATTTAATATCATAGAAATCTCCTCAACAACACAACCGACTTGATGTCTCATAAAATGAGTTGTTGAAAGTACATTAGACTGAAAGGAACATGTACAGTGATTGGTAGTAACAGAACGAAATCCTATAATTCAGTCAGTCAGTCAGTCAGTTACAACGTAGGACCAGGCACATATATACATCGATTCAAGTTGCCATACATCATTAGCATAGAAAGGTGAACATCGGATACATAGAAGTAGTTACTTCAATGGTTGTAATATATATATTGTTACATATGAATTCACATATTCTATTTTGATAATACATTTTTCTTTGTTATACCAGATCTCGGATAATGAAATTGCTCAATTGATTCATCATAAAATTCATAGTTTAACTCAAATACATCCAAATTTCAATGAAATATTTTTCTTTCAAGAAGTGTTAATGAAAGGGATTCTACTGTAGTAAGTTCAAATTGATTATTTCCCTCTATCTAATTAATAATCAATATTATTACTATAACTATTATTATTAAACTCCGCCTGGAGCCCTATGGGGCTACTGACAGTCCAAAGCCCGGAAAAATGAGAAGGGTTGTGCATGGGGTTAGCGACATCAACCCGTAGAAAACTAACTCGCTAAAAAGATGCTAACTAGAATAATTCATTCAAGTAACCACTCCTTCATAAGGAAGTTAATCTACGCTGATTATGTTTCCCAGAAAACAATAAATAGTTGACAGGATTACTTGCTTCATTACTTCGAAACTATCACAAAGCAACAAAAAAAAATAATTAGGAGGTTCAACTTAGAAACTTTTCACTCACACCTATTCTTAAAATGGTCCAATGGGTCTCACTGATTCCCAGTACTGCCAATTTGTATCTCCTCATTTCTGTTGCCATTTGACTGATCTTCCCGATCTCCCACATTGTCGGGACGTTCCATGTACCATAAAATTGTTGATCTGGTTGTTAAAAGTGGCATCGTCCTTGTGACTTTCGAAGGAACTCGGCTTTCACCATGAGGTGTCATAACTCTTCTAAATGCAAACCTTCTAACTCCTAGGGTAGAGTTTAAATGCTTTGAATTATTTTTTCTGGTTAGCGTTTTTTAGAGAGTTAGTTTTCTACGGGATGGGGTCGCTAACCTCATGCCCAACCCTTCTCCTTTACCCAGACTTAAGACTGGCGGCTTATGCTCCTCCACGAGGAGCAACAGGCGTAAGTAAGTAATTCTTAAAATATCCTTGTTGCATTAAGTTGTATATATGTTTCTCCGACACTAAAATGCTATGGTTCGTGTATCATTAATATGTACTTTGTAACACTTCCCAAGTACAATTTTATGTTGTATATATACGTTTGATTTGCACCTGCTTTTATTGCTCGTGCTTCTGGCTGCTTGTGCAATATATTTCCCTTTCCCAAACATGAACTTCCCTCTCTATCGTTAACGAGGCTGGAACGCGTCAGAATAGTAGCTTATTGGTTATTGTGTCACAGAGTATTTGTTCCGTTCTCAGATTAAGTGCACCTGTAATCCCTTCAAACGTATAGCTAATGAGAAGTCAATGAAAAAAAAAACAGAATTGATTGTATTAATCAAAATGTTATCATTAATGTACTGTTTAGATTCATCCAGTAAAATTGATTTCATGAAATACTCAATCTTAATTCAGCATTTTACTTGCTTACTTACGCCTGTTACTCGTCGTGGAGGAGCATAGGCCGCCCACCAACACTCTCCATCAAACTCTGTCTCAACCAGTTCTTTCGAGCTTCTTCCGATTCCTATTCATACTTTTCATACCTGCTTCTATTTCCCGACGTAATATGTTCTTTGATCTTTCACTTTTTCGTTTCCCTTCACGATTTCAAGTTGAAGCTTGCCTTGTGATGCAGTTTAGTGATTTCCACAATTTATGTCCTATCCACTTCCAACGTCTTTTCCTAATTTCCTACTCAGCTAGAAGCTGGTTTGTTCTCTCTCACAGTAGGCGTTGCTGATGATATCCGGTCAATGTTGGATGATGAGTATTTTGTGTATAAACTATTTAGAAATACTTGTACTTTCTTAATGATGATTGTAGTAGTAATTCTTCAAGTTTCAACTCTGTACATTAGAACTGTTCTGACGTTCGTATTGAATACTCTGACTTTGATATTGGCTTGTAGACAGTTGTTTTAAGTTCCATATATACCATTATACTATTCAATGATATTAGTTGCTTCATAACAATGTTTAATATGTGATCATCATTACTTAACTGATGATTTATGATTGTTTCACTGGTTGAAATCATGAGTCAACTGAAGCTAGACCACCATGGAAAACCTGGGAGCACTGGACGGCCGTTCCGTCTTAGTATGGGACACCATTGGATATCGGCTCAGTGGTCTAGTTGATTAAGCGCCTAGCGCGAGACTGATAGGTCCTGTGTTCGAATCTCACGGGGTGTGGGATCGTAAATGCTCACTGCTGAGGAGTTCCATACTAGGATGAAACGGTCGTCCAGTGCTTCCAGGTTTTCCATGGTGGTCTAGTTTCAATTGACTCATGATTTCAACCAGTGAAATTTCTAAAAAAATTTCACAAAACTCATTCTGATGTAATTGTTTGTTTGTTTTTCTTCTGATTTTGTTTCTATAGGCTATCATGATTATGTTTAATAATCTTGGTTTTATAAAACAATGGAATATATGTCAATCTAAATTAGCATGTTTTATATTAACAATAAAGAATAGTTATCGTCAACCAACATATCATAATTGGACACATGCATTTACAGTTGGACATATGGCTTATCTAATATTAACTATTGAAAGAGCATTAATTCATCAATATTTAGATGAAATGGAACAATTAGCATTATTTATTGGAGCATTATGTCATGATATTGATCATCGAGGATTTAATAATCATTATCAAGTAAATAGTTGATGAATCTCTTATGAGTATATGTGTATACTAATGTGGATTGCTTTGATATAGACTTTCATTGATAGGCATTCTAAGCAGAGATCAATAGTGTCTAGTAGTGGAATCAAGGATGCATGTTTCATCTTATTTGGGAATGGGTCAGTTGGATGTACCTATCCGAACTCAATAGTTAAGTGGATAACATGATGTTGTTTCAAATGAACGGTACTGGGTTCGAGTTCCAAAAGTGAACATCAACTCTGAAATGCAAATACATCCAGCTGAAGAGTCACGAATAGGACGAAACGCATATCTTGGATTTCACTACTAACCACCATCCATCTTTGCATATAATGCTTGTGAATTAAAGCAATATCGATGTAATACACACAGGGTGCAGATATGCTAATATGGGACTAATCAATTGCAGTGCTAAACATCAATGAGAAGATTCAAGTAAACAATACAAAAGGAATTTAAACTTCACCTCAATGCACAAGCAAGAGATCATCAGGAGTTAGTAGTTAAGTGGATGACGCGATGACGTTTGAAGCAAGCGATACTGAGTTTGAATCCCAGAGTGAACATCAACTCTGAGATGCAGATGCATTCAGCTGACGAGTCCCAAGTAGGACGAAACGCACATCATGAATTCCACTGCTAGCCACCATCCATCTTTGCTTCTAATGTCAAGATTGTGATTTTATGCTTTGTTTAATTCATTCGAATAAAATATTACTCCCTAGAAATACATTAGTTAGTAGAAGTTTATAGAAACTAAATTAAATGACCTACTTCTTGTTTGCACACTCAATAACATTCATTACATTTGATTCGTCTATTCAAACAATCATTTAATCATGCAATGTAAACTATTATTAATTAACCTTTCAACTAGATTAACTTAGTTGGCTTTTCATAGATCATCACTTTTCACAAGAACTACCAGTATGATAGTGTGGACATGCACTAACGGAGAATTCCTAGCATAACATTTTCTTATAGGAATAATAGATCAGTTTATGATTATTATTCTTCCTTAAATGAATAATTCAATAAAACAAGAACAATGATTGTAATAGAACATTGTGAATTCATTGATTTCCTTTCAGCTTATTCTTCTTTCAATCCAGAGCAACGCTAAACTAACCTTGAAAGTGTTCACCTAGTAACTAAGACCAAATGATGGTTAGAAACCAATATGAAGAATTAGAATTAAGACTTACAGTTGATGATTAAAGTGAGAAGTTAGATTTGGGGGAGGGTGGGTATTCATCACGAACTGACATCAGCTATATTGCCAAAACTCTATTTAGCCAAATGAATGAATGAATTGATAAGTCGTGTGGATTGAACGCTATATTAGTTTCCTAAGCTATTCCGGTAACCCGCAGTCTAGAACTACACAGCGACTTGAACACCAGAGAGAAGACACAAGTATGAGAGAAAATACTTTATCCCAAGGTTCATTTTTGTACAGAAAATCAAGGGTATTTATAGATGTTGGAGTCTGTTAAATCAACATCATATTTCAGCCAATCCGTTAACGTCATATTATGCTACCGAACAATAGTAGCATGCTACGCTGGAATTCTCGAACTTCCCATCATACTCTGATTGGCTAGGACCCTTCGGCTCCTTTTGGGCCTCTGGAGGCTCCGTTGAAGTTCTCCGGAAGCCGACTCAAAATGAATTTCGCGCCAAATTAAAAGATTTGTTATCTTATACCGAATTGGTTCATCCATAAATTATAGTCTCGCCAATTTTTTTTCTCTAATACTATGATTTTTATTAAAATTTGTAAATGCGAAACTGTTTCTAAGACAGAATACTTTCCCATACATGTAGAAAAAAAAGAACTGAAATATTCAAGAGTAAGATGGATGTTACATGGATGGCTCATTACTCTTATCTGAAGTTAAATTAATCCTGACAATTATGTACATCATCATCAGCATCAACAACAACATCTTGTCTTTACTTTCAATATCAGAAGGGGTTTTTGTGGATATTATAGTAATTTTTGTAGTTCAGATGATGAATCAATTGAAGCTAGACCACCATGGGAAACCTGGAAGCATTGGATCGTGAGTGCACACTGCTGAAGAGTTCTGCGACAGGACGAAACAGACGTCCAGTGCTTTCAAGTTTTCCATAGTGGTCTAACTTCAATTAACTTATGAATTCAACTATTAAAATCGTATTGAGTTTATATAGAACAGAAGAACTGTTATCAGCAATGGAGTTCAAGATCTACGTTCCAGGTTATTTAGTACCTATTCGGTGATATTTTTTCTGGATTTTAACATAGATATTTATACTGGGGCTCGAACTCAACTCCTTACTCCTGAAACTCTTATCGTTTAATAAACTGAGCTACTGAGTTCAGATGCTCATTAGTTTGTTCAATGAGTATACTATCTATATCATCATTATGATAGATTTCAGTTATCCTATAGTTAATATCGAGGGCTGAAATCTGACTTGTATTTGTTGGCTCATATTCATCAATGCATTCTGCTGTACACTAAAAAAGTATACGTGAACCCATATAGATTACTCAACAGATTATTTGTGTCCACATGATATCTTAGTTTCCTTTGCTTGGTTAAGTCGGATAAAGTTCTCAACTTTCATTTAAGATTTTCCAGATTATACATTTAATGAAACGATCTCTATAGGAACAATTGAATTGACTAATATATACAAGATCAGAGAGGGGTTTTGTGAATATTATAGTAATTTTAATAGTTGAATTCATGATTCAATTGAGGCTAGACCATTATTGGAAAACCTAGAATCACTGTACGACGATTTCGTCCTAGTATGAGACTCCTCAGTAGTACTCTTGTATGATCCCACCTGGTGAGATTCGAACCCGGAACCTATCAGTCTTGTATAAAGTAAGTTCAGATTTTCTTTGACAAATCATTTTCTTAGTTTGTAAATCATATTTCCATGAATAAATCATACTACTTTATTGTTATTTATTATTAGACACTTATTCATTCTCCACTTGATGCTGTTTATGGTTATAAAGGATCTATACTAGAACATCATCATATTGATCAGACAATGAGAATATTAAATATCAAAGATTGTAATATATTAAGTCAAATGACTAAGACAGTAAGTTGTTTCATTCATTTCTTTCTCTTTCGAATAATATACTACTTATATATTTATTAAAGTTAGTAGAATGATTCTATACAGTTAGCATCATACAATTGAATACTAAAGAAAGAATAACAAGATTCTGTGAGAAAAATGATTGCATTTCATCATTTTCAGGGTTTCTTTTTTTATGATGGTGGAGAAGATTTGTAGCTCAGGTGGATAATTTTGGTGGAGTTTTGTTCTTTGAGCTGGATGGTTTGGTCTTGGAGCTTTCAATGTTCTTCTGAACGACATCAGAACGACATCATCAATCATAAACAGTCTAAAGTTACTTACGCTTGTTACTCCTCGTAGAGGAGTATAGGCCACCCACCAGCATTCTCCATCCAATTCTGTCCTGGACAATCCTTTCCAGTTGTTGTTTATTCTTTTCATATCTGATTCTATTTCCCGACGTAATGTGTTTTTTGGCCCTTCCTCTTTTCCGCTTACCTTCAGGATTCCAAGTTAGGGCTTGACTCGTGATGCATTTTGATGATTTCCGTAATGTTATGCCCTATTCATTTCCATCATCTTTTCCTAATTTCTTCTTCATCTGAAAGTTGGTTTGTTCTCTCCTACAGAATTGTGTTGCTAATGGTATCCGACCACAAATTATGATATAAAACATAATAGTATAAGTTAATGCGTATTTTTGTATTTGAACTCAGTTTAACAGAAGGTCGGATTTTGAATAGCTCAATAATGAAATCTAAGATTATGCAACTAAGTGACGAAGGTTCGAATTTCACAAGCAGCATCAATTCCTTCAAGAGTATAGATATACCTTTTTGACAAGTATTAAGTAGCACGAAGTTTAGGTCTAGTAAGGTTTCTGTCAGACTACAAAAATTGTGTATGCAATTTCAAATGACTTTGATTAATTCCCAGCTAGATCGTTTTAAATAAAAGTGAGCTTCTGAGAATTAAGAAATTCAACTTTGATATTCCTCATCACTGAACAACAATGATCAGTCAGTGAATTAAACACAGGACTAGCAGAACTCTTTTAAGTTATTGAGTCGAAATTCAGTAGTTCCTATTTGTCAACTTCCATTCATTTCAGAGATGACAAGTTCCTCATTCTGTGTTATTAGCGAGTCACTACTGAACTTGTTAAATAGTCCAATACATAGATCATCACTTCAAAAATTTCGACCAACGTAACTGCAAATATAACTGTCATTTGGTTTATTTCAATAGGGTTTAGTAGAAATTCTAATTAAAGCAATGAAGTGTGACATCATTGAAATGCCATTGTGATTATCATGAGAACAGAAAATCGTCGGTTTAATTTAACTTAATAAAGTATGGTAAAGAATAAAGTGTATCAGATGTCCGGTGCTTCCTCGGTTTCAACAATTCATCAGTTCATAATGCTTCGCTAATGAATCACCTCGATAACCGTCATAATATAAATTTTCAACAGTGTTTAAGATCAGAAGGTAATGAGAAGCGGCAATTACAATTTATTAGCGGATAGCGCAGATCACATAGTTATAAGCACGTCAAGTGTATTTGAAGCAGAGAGGCGAATAAGTATATGCCCGAGCAAATACATAGGCAAGATTCTAGTTAAGTTGCATAAGGGCGCAACAAAGCAAAGCAAAAGCTAATACATAAATGCCATAAGAGAATGAATCATTGAGTGATATTTAAGCAGTCAACATTTCAGCTAGAGTCTGTCATGTGCTCTAGTGATCATAACAGTACAAACAAATATGCTGATTGTTACTATTCAAATAACATTGTCTATTAAGTAAGTGAATCAAAAGGGTTTAATCAATATCTAACCATAATCGAAAATGATTGTAGGATGTAAAGACCTTTATATATCTGGACAACATCATTAATGACCACGGTGGATCTGATGTAGATGTAAAGGCGCAGATCGGTAAAGCAAGAACAGCATATCTATAATTAAAGAACATTTGGAACTCAAAACAACTGTCTGTTAACCAACACCAAAGTCACAATTTTCAATACAAATGTCAACACAGTTCTACTGTATGTGGTGGAAACTTGCAGAACTACGAAAGCGATCATCCACAAGATATAAGTGTTTATTAACGATTGTCTACGCAAAATACTTTAGATCCTTTGACCAGACACTATCAGCAACAACCTAGTATGGGCGATAACAAACCAGATTCCAGTGGACGAAGAAGCGCTGGAAGTGGATAGGGCATACATTGAGGAAATCACCAAACTGCATCATCATAAGACAAGCTCTCACTTGGAATCCTCAAGGCCAAAGGAGGAGAAGTGGAAGACCGAAGAACACATTACACCGATAAATGAAGACAGACATGAGATGAATGATCAACAATTAGATAGAACTAGAAAAGAAAACCCAAGGACAAAAAGGGGGTTGGAGAATACTGCTCAGCGGCTTATGCTTCATTGGGTAGTAACAGACATAAGTAAGTAAGTAAGTAAGTACAATAAACAACTGATGAATGACACTTTTCTCTCTTTTCTTTTCTTCTTCTTTCCTTTATTCCTATAGGAATATGAAAGATTTAAATTATTATTAAAACATATTATATTAGCTACAGATTTATATCAACATATTTCAATTATCCCGGAATTCATTCAATTATCCAATGTGTCCTATGATCCATTCAATAGACGACATCATGAATTACTTTTATCTATTCTAGTTACATCATGTGATTTAAATGATCAATGTAAACATTGGTTAAATACACTTGATACAGCTAAATTCATTTATTATGAATTTTTTCATCAAGGTGATTTAGAAAAATCATGCAATACAATCCCTTTATTATCATCATTTGATAGAGAGAAAGCATTTATACCAGAATTACAAATACATTTTATTGATTCAATTGTTCTACCATGTTTTAAGTAAGTGAACTCAATTTACATGAATGAAATGAAATGATATTGCTATGATAAGAGTATAACACAACTCACAATTGATTGATCATAGAGTGGTGATCAATATCATGTGTACCAAGTCCTTATTAGTTCAGATCAAATTCTATCGAGTATAGCAACTATCCTACAGTAAGTCAGTCGGTCAGTTACAATGTAGGATCAGGCATATATATGGATCGGTACAACTTACAACACCTTACTCATTATTAGCACAACATGACGAACAACAAATTCATAGAAGTAGTTAATTCAATCGTAGCAATATATAAAAGAATGATTGCATATAAGGATATAATACAGGAAGAAAGAAAGATCATATGAAGCGATTTTAATCTCATAGTTTAAGGGAAGACAGAGAGTGTATACACCAACGCCATTGTGATCGATTCTGAGCCATGTCACACACAGTCTCCAACCATTGATTACGATAGTCACATGGACCCCAACCAACTAGTCTGCATCTACCAACATGGCTCAGACTAGAAGTTAGTGACTTTGTGAATTGATGCCACAATTTGTTTTGTCTGCCCCTAACTTTCTTCCAACCATTCCCAACACTAGTCAGTATTGCGCGTCGTGGTAAGCGGTGTTAAGGCATACGCAACACGTGGCCCAACCATTTCAGTGTCTACTTTACTACAACCAGTTCCGATTATGATTAATTTTGGTTAAAGCGTTTTATTAACAGTTAACAAGATGATCAATTAACGAAGCAATATTAATACAAGACATAGCAAAAATTAGTTTATCATAACTATCTTACAAAGACAAGTGTTTAGATTAAGCTTTGCTGATGAATGTCAAATATCATGAAACCTAGATTAACAGGCTTTGCAACCAATCACTTCCAACAGCCTAACGTCAGCTCTCCCTATCGAAATGCTCTCACATGGCCATGCGTATACAACCACTACCAGAGAATTCCTACTCACTGAGTTCGCGCGGAAATTGAGAGGAAGAAAAGCGAATGTCCGGTGTTTTACCCGGGTTAATGAACACCGAGAGTTCACCTAGAGGAGTTGTAAAACCTTAATTCCAAACGATTGGTGCACATGGGCTACCAGGATCCTGAAAGAACAAGTGGCATATGTACCAATTATTGTTCAACAACTACCATGGAACTGTATCTCATAATGTGATTCCACTGCCTTGTGGATGAAACTTTTAGGTCAAAGGCCACGAGTGTTGCCCCCTGTTATAACTTGCGGTCTGAGCGCCCTGTTAATCTATAACGTAACGATATCGCCAATTAGAGGACACTGAATTATCGATCAGACGAATGACTCATAAAACCCGTACGAGCAGTCCAGAGTCCTGATTGGTCCTCCTTTCTGCCTAGCCCAGCCAGTCAAGTCCAGAACATCAATCTCAGCATCTACGATATGAATCATGTATTTCAAACATACTCGGTTTATATACCACCAACCAGACAGAACACACCTTACCATAAATTGTGAAATAACATTTGTACAAGATTTAGCCAAATGTGGCTGTGAATGTGAGAGGTAGTAATTAATAGACAGGGTGTAATTCAAGAATGGAAAATCGTGTAATATCGGTTTATAAATGAAAATAAAGCTTATGATAAGAGAGACATGAATACGGATAGTTTAGTTATTTAACAATTATACGATAAAAATATACACATAATATTGAACCATAAATGAATCCCAAAAGTTACCATTCATTATGCTTGTCGGAACATAACACACACACCCCTCAAAGAAAACCATTTGCTACCGTCTGTGCACACGAGTAGTATCACAGCCCACACATACACATCAATCAAATGATTTATATGCGCGCGTAGGTAATCGATACCTCCATTTTACCCATAATTATATAATCAAATCAATAAACCAATAAATAAAGTAGTTACATCACTGTATTTTGTTTTTAATATATTTTTCTCTCTATTTTGATTCTTTTAATTCATTTCATTTTGTTTGACCTAATTTTACTACTACTACTACTACTACGACTACGACTACGACTACGACTACGACTACGACTACGACTACGACTACGACTACGACTACGACTACGACTACGACTACGACTACGACTACGACTACGACTACGACTACGACTACGACTACGACTATTACTACTACTACTACTACTACTACTATTATTATTATTATGATTATTATGATTATCATTATTATTATTACTATTACTATTATTATTATTCTTGTTATTGAATTTGTTTATTTCATTTAGGATATTGTCGAAGTTTTTACCAAAATTTCAATCCACTCTTTATACTATTCATAAGAATAAAGAAATTTGGCAAATATTATTAGAAAAATTTAAACAAAATCAATTAATAAATTATACAAATGATTTATTATTTAATAAATATTATAATAAATTAATAGAAGAATATCTGTGATAAATAGAATATAATGAAACAATATGGGGATGATGATGATGATGATCTTACTTACTTCATGACGCCTGTTACTCCTGATGGAGGAGGAGGAGGAGAGACCGCCGCCTATCAACACTCTCCATCCAACTTTGTCCTGAGTAATCTTCTCCAGTTGTTATTCATCTTTTTCATATCTCATTCTATATCCCAACATAATCCATACTTTGAACTATTATTATGATAATGATATTTTATAATGAATACATTTTATTGTACAAATATGTATATGAATCATATTTTGATGTTAAATAATTGACTAACTACTACTGTTCATATTGCAGTGTGTGCGTGTGTGTGTGTGTGTGTGTGGGAATGTACTATTGATATCAACAGATATAAGTAGTATATATCATCCATCAATCAAAAATGAAATGTTTGCCAGCAGAAAGTTTAAAAAAAAAAGAGATTAAACAGAATAGAATGAGAATAATGAACGATTACTGTGGAAATGAAACAACAATCAATTGTCTCACAATTGATTGATTGATTGATTGATTGATTAAAGTATTCATTGTATGATACTTAGATGTTCTGTAATTTAGTGTATTCGCATATATTCGACTATTCTTACTTTTATATTCTCATTTATTGTTATACTACTTATATACTATTTTTTCTTGTCTATAAACGATTTGTTTTTCTTAATTGAGAACTATTTTAATATCTGTTCTATCATCATTTCATTATTGAATGGATGTTTCTATTATGTATGTTTTTTTTTTCATGTATATTAATTACTTTCATCTATTATAAATAATGAATGGATCAAGTCAATTAATCGATTAACTAGAAACTATATCTCTATTTTTCATGGATTTTGTTTGCTAAAAAGAAAAGAGAAAAAGAAGAAGAAAAGAAAAAAAAGAAAAAAACTTTTTTTGGAAATAATCAATTTTATTTAGTTACTAAACAAAAAAACAAAAAAAATTTTTTTTCTTTTTTTAATAATCAATAATTAATTTATATTACAGTATTGGAGGATTTACATTTTAACTATTGGGAATGCATAAACAAGATATTATGATGTAATCATTATTACTATATGATGAAATCATTGAAAAGATTATTGATTAATGTAATAAATATAAATAATGAAAATATAATGCATAGATACATTTAGATATATTACTTACTTACTTACGCCTGTTACTCCTAATCGAGCATAGGTCGCCTACCAGCATTCTACAACCCACTCCGTCCTCGGCCTACTTTTCCAGTTCCATCCAATTCTTGTTCATTTTTCTCATGTCTATTTCCATTTCTCAGCGTAATGTGTTCTTCGGTCTTCCACTTCTCCTCCTTTGACCTTGAGGATTCCATCTGAGGGTTTGTCTTGTGATGACGCAGTTGGGTGCATTCCTCAATGTGTGTCCTATCCACTTCCAGCACTTCTTCCTGATTTCTTCCTTTAATGGAATCTGGTTTTTTCTCTCACATAGTAGGTTGTTTCTGATAGTGTCTAGCCAACGGATCTGAAGTATTTTGCGTAGACGGTTGTTAATAAACACTTGTATCTTGTGGATGATGGCTTTCGTAGTTCTCCAGGTTTCCTCTCCATACAGTAGAACTGTTTTGAAATTTGTATTGAAAATCCTGACCTTGGTCTTAGATATATTATTGACCATTTAATCATCTTGGTTACAATTCCTTTATATCTTAATGATGATATATACTAACTCTATTGGTAACTATTATCATTATTGTAATAGTAAATACAATTACTTATGAAAGATATCAGTTGAATAATGATATATTTGATAGTAGTAAGAACATCTTAAATAAATGAATGGTATTCATTCAAGATTGACTACAATTTAGGTTGTTCTGTTCTACTTTACAGCTGCAAAAGGTGGCCATTAAGAGTACAAGATATTCGAAAGCTTAAAAATATTGTTCGCATCTGCTGGGATTATCGCGTAAGCAATAGTGAGGTTAGATGCAGGGTATTAGGGAATGATGGTAAATCAGTTGATCAAGTTGTGAATCTTCATCGACTGAGATGGTTGGGCCACATGTTATGTATGCCTCAACGCTGATAACCACGGCGCGAAATGCTGACTCGTATTACAGGCAGTTGGAAGAAAGTTAGGGGCGCACAAACCAAATCGTGACATCAATTCACAAAGTCACTAACTTCTAGTCTTACCCATGTTGGTAGATGCCGACTACTTTTTTGGGGTCCACGTGACTATCGTAACTAATGGTTGGAGACCCTTGGTGACATGGGTCAGAATAGATCACAATGACGTCGGTTTATACATTCTTTGTTTTCCTTTAAACTAAGAGATTAAAATCGCTTCGTATGATCTTTCTTTCTATCAACTAATTCTTTCTTCCTGTACTATATCCTTATATGCAATCATTCTTTTATATATTACTACGGTTGAAGTGACCACTTCTATGAATTTGTTGTTTGTTATGTTGTGCCAATGTGTAAGGTGTGGCAAGTGTGACTGATTCATATACGTGTCTTGTCCTACGTTGTAACTGACTGATTGACTGAACAGAAATAAATGGATAGTTTCAGAAGGTGTTTTGTGGAGATTGTAGTAATTTTAATAGTTGAGATCATAACTCAATTGAAGCTAGACCACCATGGAAAACCTGGAAGCACTAGACGGTTATTTCGTCCTATTATGGAACTCCTTCGTGACAGTGCGCATGCATGACCACACCTTGCGACATTCAAACCCAGGACCTATCAGTTGTTACGCCCTAGTCTAGGATTCCTTATTAGTGTGCTCATTGGACCTCATCATTTGTCGTGATGAGTATTTAATAAAATAAACCACTAGGTTGGTACTATTAAACTTTAGTTTAGTAGTTCTGTTTTTTTAAGATACTCACCACGATTCATAAAACTCTGAGATTGATCTATATTGACGTCGCATATAGATATAGATGAGTTCAAGATTTGGAGGAAATAGCCGTTCATGTATCTGCGTTTTTTTCAACGGGAGCCAAACCGTGGTCAATTAATAACGAACATCAATGAGTAATCTACACTAATCTACACAAAACTAATTTATCTAAAATCCCTTAAATAAGTTTAGGTTTAAATAACATTAAAAAGAATTCTCAGCCATGAATATATTGTTGGTTATTCATAGTTATGGAGTTGATTCTTTCAGAAATGAAGATATTCAAATCGTTGTTACTGGTTTTGTTTCTCAGTATTGCTACCTTGAGACTGTAATTACACTTTAATGATGTATCATGTTGTACGCATCGCCCGGTGGTGATCTCCTTTCTAATTTTATCTTACCTTACTACACTAAGACAGTATAATCTAGTAATTGCATTAGGAACTTGATGAAAGAAATTCAATTTGAAATGAGCAGTAAACATTGTCTAGTGTTTACCAAAAATGTACTAAAGGAATATATTACTCATAAGGGAATTGAGTAATAGTACAAATGACATACATTACGCAAGTCATCAAACTGAATCACGAGGCAAGCCCTAACTTGTAATCCTGAAGGGAAGTGGAAAAGAGGAAGGCCAAAGAGCACATTACGTCGGGAAATAGAATCAGATATGAAAAAGATAAATATAACTGAAAGAACTGGAAAGGATTGGTTGGGAAAGGGTTGGATAGCGAGTGCTGGTGAGCGGCCTATGCTCCTTCACGACAAGTAACAGGCGTAAGTAATTAAGTAAATAAGTGCAAATGTCTCATTGATAATATATTGAATTGTGACACCGAACAATAAAACTTCGTATTTCCTCAAGTACTAACATCCATTTTCTCCAGATTACGGTTTTTGTACACAACTGTGTACTGACCGGCAGGAAACTTTAATTCAAAACATCCTGTTACTTATCTATGGTAATTATTCATGGTTTTGATATTGCAGCTAATCTTAGAATCCATTAGTTATGAGCATCAATCATGTTCACAACTGTTTGCAAAAATACATAATCAAAAATTAGGGAAACTTTTAAAGAAAAAATCATGGTTTTCCGGATTAGTTCCTACAAATATATTGACAATTCTAGCATATTTGAATCATGGCAAAGTAAAATTCGGGATAAGAGTCTCGCCACTCATGGAACTCGACAGCTGAGCGTGATTTACTCCCTAATGTCGGTATCTTTACTGACTTAAATATAGTACATATTGCTTCAACTATCAACAGGTTATCTACCTAGCTGCTACTTTCCAATGTTAACAGACTTCTTCTAATTGTTGATATTGAGGGTTGGAGTTAATAAATCTCTGTTGGAATCTGCTCATGCTCCCCCTTATATAACAACACATAGTTATTAATAGTGATTATGAGTAATAGCAACGGAATAGTATAAATCAACCATTGTGATTTTAAAAGTATGAAGTGTATTCAAATTCCTGCAGTTTCTAAGCACATTTATTAGTGCATTGTACATCAACTAGAAAAAAAAACAAAAGAGAATACACTTAAATTAAAAAAAACACTTCTACATTTATAGATCAATATTTTATGACGCAATAGACGAAACTGTAATTTATGAACGAACCAATCAGATTTATAGATGGCAGATCTTGAATTTTAGCGCGAAATTCATTCATTCATTTGGCTCAATAGAGTTTTATCATTATAGCCGTGACCAGTAGAGCTAATCCGTGTTGGGTAGAGATAGGTATCTAACTCAGTACAATGGAAGATGGTCGCGCAAACTTGTGGATTGGTTGAGTTTAGACATTAACACCATTAGATACCGGCTCAGTGATCTAGAGGTTAAGCGTTCGTGCACAAGACTGATAGGTCTTGGGTTCGAATCTCACGGGATGCGGGATCGTGGATGCGCACTGCTGAGGAGTCACGTGTTAGGAAGAAACGGCCGTCTAGTGCTTCAAGGTTTTTCATGCTGGTCTAGCTTCAACTGACTCAATATTTTCAGTCAAAAACTTAATAACCTCCACAACACCTAAACGGATATTTATCATTATAAATTATGTCAGTTCGTGATAGAAACCCGAA